AGAGCTTGTACAGATTGCAATTTACCGATTATAAACCACATGCGTCTTTAACTATGGTTTCTGTCCTCGCACGCATGCAAGAACGAAAATAAGCACTAAACATTTCGTAGACCGCGAATATCACATAATCAAAGAAGATCATAGCAAGCCGTAAGGAACATCATATTTATGCAATCTGCTCATGATTCTGTACATGTTCTCTATCATAGCGACACACGCAATTCCCCAGTAAGCTAATTTTCCTTGGTAAAAACATCAATTCTGTTACAAACAATTACATCAATTCTGTTAGAAACATCAATTCTTAAATTTTACCCATATATATACAATTAGAAAATTGCATAATAAATCTTTGTATCGTATAGTCGTATAGTCTCCGTGCAGTGTCCCACTACGTACGATATGGCCGGCAATGCGATCAAAGCCCTGTCAACATGGTGGCTGGCGACAATAACCTTAGTGATTGACTAGGAAATTTTGAATGGTCTACAGAAGAAGAGCCAACCTTATATTAGTCTTTCTGTTCACTACCTCGTGGCTTCTATTGTAAGCGATGTTTCTGTTTATTGAAATTGCAAGNCTAGGAAATTTTGAATAGTCTACAGAAGAAGAGCCAACCTTATATTAGTCTTTCTGTTCACTACCTCGTGGCTTCTATTGTAAGTGATGTTTCTGTTTATTGAAATTGCAAGGTAAAGCACGTTGATTGTATATAGCGTAGCGTATGGCAGGTATGAAACTAAGAATTAAATTAAGGCATAGTTAGTAACTATGATTAAGGTTTCCTGACCTTGAATGTTCACAGTAATCGAAATGAAACGTCCATGCACCCGAGCACGGGTGTCAACTCTGGATGGTTCAACTGGATTGTTGGGATAAACACTATGAAATAGTCCACAGTCGTGGCTGTTCGCGTAGTAGCAAGCGATTCCGGCTGCTTGTCACAATACTCGACTAATCACAGTGTATAGCCAAAAAAAGAAACTTTTGAGTATCCCGCTACCTGACAATCTTTAACAAGACTGAACTTATCCGCATCTACATTTTTGTTAGGTTGTAGGAGAATTGGAACTTATCCCAAGACTTAATGCACTATGAAACTGTCTTGCAGCTCTCGCATAACCCTTCCCAGTGGGATAATCTCTTTTAAGGGCGTTATGGGCGGACCCAAAGGGCATAG